TAAAAAGGCCCTGCAGGAAAAATCCAGTTTTCAAGTGAGCCTCAGAACGTGCATTTTCATTTCCGATCAGCATGCATCAGAGCAAAGTATCCAAGCTTTCTTGGCGCCGTTCTCGTTCCTCCAGACTTTCCTCCCTTTCTCAAGGTGGAGCACGTCCAAAGGCTTGCAGGAGAGTTTGGCTGGGTTGTTGCCAACTTAAATTGCTAACTTAAAATCTGCGTATTTTGAAGTATTTTGTGTTTTGTTAGTTTTGTTTTGTAAGATATTTAAAATAGGATAATCACTTTAAGATATCATATGGAGCATAAGGGGACCGCCTTGGGCTTGCATCTAGTCCTTAAGTTTGTTTTATTATATAGCAAGTATATTAGTAATGACATAAGCAATGTTATTATTATTAATATTACTTAATGATCAGACATAAGCAATGTGGATTGACTTTTTTATGATACGCTGTACTAATAAAGGAAAGCTTCGCTAAATTTCTGTATAGTTTTAATTCATTGAGCGGTTTTCTAATTCCCAAAACACCAGAGTCCGTTTTATAGTTTCGTAATTCCCCGATTCCCGTTTATCCTGTCGAATTTCTGTTTCTTTTTTTTCTGTTCTTTTCCCCCCGTACATATGATTAATATTACGCATTAATAATAATTCATAATTGCTCGATTCTCCCCCCCCCGTTACTTGTTCCTCCATTCCCCGTTCTCCGTTCCCCCCATTCCCTGTTCCTCCATTCCCCGTTCCACCATTCCACGTTTTTCGACAGAGAAGACGATCTTTTTGCCTGTATTCAATCTACAAACACTAAAAACAAGTTTACTAGTCGTAATTTACTAGTATGTACTCGTATTCTACTCGTATGTACTCGTATGTACTTGTGTTTTACTCGTATGTTACTCGTATGTACTCGTGTGGTGTTTTAGTCACGATCCAGCAGGAAGTGTTATTTTTGTTAATTCTTTCAGCGAGTTTGTTTTCAGAAGTTAGATCAGGTGGAATGCATAGGTTGTGAGTTGAAATCCTAGGCACGCTTGCACATTTATACTATAGCTGAACTCAGGATATAAGCTGACTTTAAGTCAAGGTTCTTCTCTGCTACGAAATTTTAGTGGTTCGATAACTATTACTTTATGGTGGCTCACCCTCCCCTGCTCCCCTGCTTTTGGTTTCCAGGAAAATATCAAATTAGGGGTGGATCATTACTATTTTTAGCAATGTTTTTTTTTGGGGGGGGGGGTGCATGGGATCACAGGGATGGGTTGTCAAAAATTATGTACCTTGAATTTTCCACCCCCCCCCCACTCCCTGTATGTAATAACCAGTCCCTAAACACATAGGTGGGCTGGCCAGTGATAAACACAAAACTAGGAAGATCTCTGAACCTGGAAAAAATCATCGGCACCCCCCCCCCCCTACGCTTCTGTACATCCAAATTCTATTTGAAAAGATTTAAAACCATAATCACCTGTTCCCTTATCCGACTACTGCTTGCAGTCCCAGAAGTGCCAGCGGAAGAAAGAGTTTGCCGGGCTTGGGAGATAGCAGCTGGTGAGTCAACACGAGGCAGTTGCTATTGAGATTTGTAAAATACAAACATTTGGTTATACACCGTTCTTTATTCATAGAAAATTCAAAAGGTAAAAAGGGCGAAATATTATCTATACTTACCGGCGATAATGTTGCAGTCAATGCGTCGGTAACTGCTCTAGAAACAGCTTCTGAAATCGTCCTCGAAAGAGCTTCGCGATCGGCGGCCATATTTTAATAAGGAGCGCTTTCAGCCTTGGTAACCACGCATTTTTCCCGCCAATAATAAATTTACACTTGGCGCGTGAAGGTGTAAATTTATGATACGCGAAATTCCATTATATGTAAATAATGCTTGTAAGCGAGCAATGCAATCCTTATTTATAAATAACTACTAAACTGCACTTAGCTTTGCTATAACTAATAGATTTGTCAACTTATTTATATGTAAATAATAAGAGACGAAACAGCACATTATTTATAAATAATTACTCTAAGAAACCAACTTGTATATAAATAATTGTTTTACAACTTTTATTATTTATAAATAATAGCATTAAAACTTTCATTATATATAAATAATACAGATCTCCTAAAGTTATTATATATAAATAATTGTTTTACAACTTTCATTATATATAAATAATACATTAAAACTTTCATTATATATAAATAATACAGATCTCCTTTAGTTATTATATATAAATAATTGTTTTACAACATTCATTATATATAAATAATGTAAATCTCTAAAAGTTATTATATATAAATAATGTCATCTTTATTCCATTATTTATAAATAACGGAAAAGTTCACCCGTTTTTCTACTAAATAATAAATTTACACTTGGCGCCCCATAATTATGCTCGCCGGCATAAACAAGGCTTGTGTTTTACCTCGGCAACTATGGCAATATTTCGATTCAAGGTTTCTAAGAACAAAGTCAGAAATTAACACGGAAAACGAATCGAACTCTAACATAGAAAGCTGAATCAATGCTGCTTATCTAAAACCGGCGAATTCGAAGGCGTCTGTTTTACTAGTAAAGGACTACATTCTTTATCAAGCAGCTTCCCACTCAGTATGTGTTACGAATTTTACAAAATTTCTATTTGTATGGTATTTTGGCAGAGTATGGACCAGATTCTTATCCCACTGCAACATAGGCATAATTTAGAACCAAACTACCTAAAATTAGGACATCAATTCGAAGTTCTTATCAAACTTGAATATGAATGACTGTAATTTAAATCGAAATTTATGCATCAGAAACTACAAAGTTAAAGTATAAACAAATTGTGAATCCTACCTTAATTGTCTATAGTACGGGCGTTGCTACTGATACCCTTTTTCACATTACTGCATTGAAGAAGACAATCATTACATGACTTACAGAAATCGATCGTTTCTCCGCAATTTAAATCCGTTCTGACTTCTGTTTGCTGTAAACCAAAATATTGGGAATTTGAAAGCGGAAGTCGGAATTATTCTTGTTGTTAACTGATGGCGGGTGTCGCTAGACGTGGGCGAGAAAAATGCCGTACTTTGATTAGCAACACTTGTGTACCCGTTGACAGGTAGGGAAATTGTCTGGCTATGCACGAAAACTGCTCGGGTTTTCATCAGGAGAGGAAGATATGCGTGCTTCCACTTGCTTGAATTAAAAAAACATAAACAACATGAACGAAACACCGCGGGAAAAAGTCTGCGAATGCGTGGGGTAAAAAAGAAATGGCGAGGAATTTAAATGCCAAATTGTAAACAAAACAAGGCTAATTAGTAATTTAAGGTATTTGAAACAAACAAAAAAATAATACACTAGACGGGTAGTTTAGACATGAATAAAATGTTTTTTAACATCTAAAAAGAAACAGAAATTAAATTAAAAATTACCGTTTAAGACCGGGAAGCGTGTGAACATTTCTTGAAAAATTGTCGAATACCAAACTTAAAGCAGAAAAGTTAAGACAACTATAGAATAGTTAAGCATTTGCACACGATTAAATTGTAGAGTAAATCATTACACTGACCTGAAAGGTCAAGTGTCTTAAGGCCCTGTTACGTACGGTGCAATTTTTCATGCAACTTGTCTCGCAATGTTTATAAAAAGATTTTGATAATGCATTGCAAGAGGTGTTACACGCTGCAATGATTTTGATGCAACTCGCAACGATAGGGGACAGAGGCATGCGAAGAGACTAGGGAGAGGCGCTACTTGGCGCCAAATTTTAATTAAAATAAAGCGTGTACTGGGAGAGCCAATAGGAACTCTCCAAGCTATAAACATTGCGAGACAAGTTGCACGAAGCCATGTTACACGCTGCAACGCTTAAAATAATTAGTGCAATCGTTGCCAAAAGTAGAACCGACTTCTACTCTGTGCAATGCTTCATGCAACTTGTCTCGCAACGATTTTGACCATTGCAAGGCATGTTAAACGGTGCAATGACTCGTGGAACTTGTCTCGCAACGCCATTGCGAGACAAGTTGCATGAAAAATTGCACCGTGTAACAGGGCCTTTAAGGCCTGATTCCTCGAGGCGGAATTTTTCGACCGAAACGAAATTTCTCTTTGTCTTTTTACAATTAGTTCTGCTTGAGAGCTCATAAAACAAAGAGAAATTTCGATTCGGTCGAAAAATTTCGCCTAGTGGAAAACCGCCTTTAAATCCCTAGTTTTCTGTTTTCTTCTGTTTTTTTCGTCGTCGAGAAATCGAGTTTGCGTTCGCGCATCGCAGGCTCAGGGTGCAACGATTAATCCAAAATGCCATCGATTCTTCGACTCCACGATTCATGTATAATAGTAAGAAGCTTGTATTTATGTACGTAATAGCCGGCTCATGCCATGCTTGTGGTTCATTTTTCGTTTATTAGCCCATATATCAGAGGAGGTACGACAGGCAATTAGCGAGTGGTCACGTGAGCTCTCGATCAATGAGATCGCTCTATTTTCCATCGTGCTATCGGCAGAATTTGGACAGAAAAATTTGCATTCGACGGAAAATAAATCGGAAAAAAATATTAATATTAAAATTTTCTTGCAAAATTTCAAGTGTAGTAGTACTACTCCTAAAGATCTGGTGATATCTGCAAAAATCTCTGAAGTAAACTTTATTTTCAATGTTATTTTGATGTTTGAAGTTAGTCGACTCCCCGCGACGTGTTGACTCAAGTCTAAATATGTTTACAATGTTTAAAATGAAATATCTAGAATTCCCATCGTTTGATTTTCTTCATTTTTGGTAGTCGTCAAGACAAAAGTATAAGCTTTAAATCTGCTGGAATGATCCCGGTGATCCCCCGGCAGTTTTCGAGATATTGACCGTTGAAATGACTATTGTCAACTCGACGTTCGCTAAAATGGCGTCTAAAACCTTGGAAAGAAAATGCGCCATCAAAGATGATATTTTCAATGAATTTTTGTTAAAGTGTTAAAATATTATTTAGAAGACTTAGGAGTTGTTTTAATATTTTTTTAGAATTTATATCTGTGGAATTTTCAAAGTTTTGTTGTCTTTTGCCGACGCGACTGGATCGTGTACGTATTTCAAGACGTGCTGATCGCCTGATACTGGGGTTTTTGTGGCAAATCGAGCTGCGGAATCCTCAGCATGGACAAATCAGTGTCCTAACAGCCCATTTCAAGCCAGCAAAGAGCTTCACTTGTTTTAAAGCAATAAAATAAGTTTTTATGTATCATATAACAAATTATTAAAGTGGCATGTTTTTGTGGGATCTTTCCCTGCTGGCAGTGGTTTCTGAGCTGAAGTGGGATCTCGGATCAATTTAATAATAAACTAAGTTATATAAATAGACATTTTCTTGTTTATTGTTGCATTAATTTTAATCTGAAAAAATACTCACAAAGTAGGTCAAGTGTATGAATATATATTCATTTATTTACTAAAGTGCATTCTTTACAGTTATTTATGTACTTAGTCTTATTTGCATGAATGTACATGACAGATTGGTTTAATTAGATATACCCAGTTATCATTCATAACCTATGGTTTGTTTAAATAATGCTGGAAAAAACTTAAAAAGTTAGCCAATTGAAATAAATGCACTAAAAACTTGCTAAACATAGCTTGGTAGTTGCTATTTATTATACTAGAAATAGTTTACACTAAAACTGCCCCCGGCTGATCATGGTGTACTAACTAGCTGTTATTAAAAATTAAAAATGATCATGCCTTATGGTAATTTACAAAATGTTATTACTACTTTCTGGCTTTCTTTCAAAACGCTTAGAAGATTGATAAAATTGGACGAACTTTAAAAGTGAACCACGTGTAACTTGATCCTTGTGCGTCTATCCGGCTGAAGGAATGGCGCTTTTCAATATAATGGAACAATGACTATATGCATGAGTCCCTTGTTACAAACGTTTATAATGTGACCGTTTTGTGTTAAGCTTTGCTCAATTTTTTATATATTTGTATTTGTTTTTGACTGACTGATGTGTGAACCAAGTCTTTTGGTTCCTGTTTTGATTAATGTGTCTGAAAAATCGTATAGTTGATACTTGATAGAATCTTGATAGACGGAGTTTTTAATTTGCGTTACTGTTTTCGTTATTTGACGGATCGACTCCTTCACCAACAAATGATAGTAACAACGTACCTCACAAGTCTATTAATTAATAGACACGTAAAACAGACCACAGAAATAAAATGCCGTTTGACAAGGTGTTGACCCAAGCGAATAATAATTCTTACAGAAAGCAACGCAACCTTTGAACCCTCACCTTTTAAACTTGCGCAGCTACGGCACTACGCCAATAATTCACTTGCCTTTTATAATAAAATTTGAACCCTCACCTTTTAAACTTGTGGCCTTTTACTGTAATATATAAACTAATTGCTTCTAATCTTGATAGCTTTAACAATTCATGCTTGATTTATATTTGCATCAACTTATATCATATTACGTGCGGGGACTTCAATACCCCCAATGTTTTGCGATATTACCCGCAAAGCATTGATATTACCCACCAATGCTTTGCGGGCGAAAACCTAAAAACTTAAATTTCTCCGCCTCTGGTATACACCGTATGTATACACTGATATCATATTACACTATTACGTCCGGGGACTTCAATATATGCCTCCTCGGGTTTTGGCCCTCTGGGGCCAAAACCCTGCGGGGGCAATAAAAAACATCTGTCAACATACACTCATGCTTTTTCCTACCACTCGAGTCTCCACTCACCAGGGGCCGCTTGTTCAAAGCTGGGTTAGTTTAACCCATGGTTAACCTAAAATTCGAAGCAAACTTCCTGACAGCTTTTCTATAAATTTGGTAATATTTCTTCAGACATCTTGTCTGGATCGATAGGAGTATACTTTTCTGAAGTTTTGAAATGCACAGATCTATGTGTAGAAGTACACAAACTAAAACAGCAGGTTAAATTTTAACCCAGGGTTAGCGCTAACCCGCCTTTGAACAACCGGTCCCAGGTGTCTTTATGAAAATGTTTGGATAAAATCCTATTTTAATTAAAAAAGTCAACCCTATACTTGATACACTTGAACATAGACATCCACGATATCTCCTGCAGCAATTAGTGGGTGCAAATACTTGCATAGTTCAGAAGCAATATAACCAACATGTGTCCATACTGTTCCATAGTCTAGATCAATAGGCAATTCCAGCTTTTAATTTATGCATGCAGGGGGTGACGGGAAGTAAGGTATCATATTGCTGATTATGCTGGAAAAATTTTAATAAACTACCTAAACAACCAAAATATTTCAATATTTACAATTGCTATCTATCCATGTTTACATGGCCACCATTTCTATTTTTTCAGCATTATCAGCAATATGATATCTTACTTCCCATCACCCCCTGTATGCATAACCTAAAAGCTGGAATTGACCATTACACTTGGGTCCCTTGGATTCAATGGTGCTGGTCGTATTCTTACATTGAATTCACTGTTTTATCTTGTTCATGAAGAGCGAGGTATTATGCCTTAATTTTCCAAATGATGTCAGTAGTTTTTCTCATGAGCAGCACCGATGCACTTGAATGGTACAGAGTGGGCGATTTCTTCCTCCCCATCACTTTCGTCTTCATCACTTAACTTGTCATCACTTTCTGCCCTATCACCTTGATCACCTCTTTCATTATCATATACATTTTGAACAGGTTCAAGACCAGCCAACCACTCAAGTAAATCTCTTTCTACAAAATCATAACAAGGAAATTATTATTTGATAATTGATACATTGTTATCTCTAAAATTAGCAAAAATATACAAACAGCAATATTTAGATGAAAATTAAATTACAGTTTGCACATTTAAACAACCACCCACAACTAGATACAAACAGGCATCACACTCAGCAAAAATTTATAAAACCATACAAATAATATAACTGAATAACAATATACCTTCAGAGACTTCAGACTCATCTGAGAACAAATGTTCATCATCTGAATGTTCATCATCAATTCTAGTCGCTGTCAATATATGATCCACATCGAAATCCAAAATCAAAAGCATATATGCTGGGTGTTTTCGTTAGCAAACTCATCAGGAGTAGGATCAAACTAAAGGGAGTAGGA